AATTTCATATTTTTCACTTGTTTTCAACATCTCTATATTTAGTCGTTAAACATTTTTGAATATGTAATACATTCACTATTTAAATCTCAAAATAATTAAAAATTATGCTTATCATTATAAGTCTTGCTCCACCCCTGCCCCTTCACTACTTATTTTCTTAGTTCTTATGTATCTCTAGACTTTACATTTTTTACATGTCTATGTAAATAAAACACAAATATAAATATATATTCTTGTTTCCCTCTTTTGTTACGCTATATACACTGTTCTGTACTTTTTAAAATTCTAGGATACCTTGGCTTCCCTGGTAGCGCAGTGGTTAAGAATCCGCCTACCAATGCAGAGGACATGGGTTCAAGCTCTGGTCCGGGAAAAACCCCACATGCCGCGGAGCAGCTAAGCCCGTGCGTCACAGCTACTGAGCCTGCGCTCTAGAGCCCGCGAGCCACAGCTACTGAAGCCCGCGTGTTGCAACTACTGAAGCCCACGTGCCTAGAGCCTGTGCTCCGCAGCAAGAGAAGCCACCGCAATGAGAAGCCCGTGCTTGCCGCAACTAGAGGGAGCCCGCGCGCAGCAACGAAGACCCAATGCAGCCAAAAGAAATAAATTAAATAAATAAATTTATTAAAAAAAAAATTCTACTGTATCTTAGAGTTCTTTCTTACTGTATAGAAGACTTCCTTGTTCTTTTGTTATTCTTATAGCTGCATAGTGTTCCATCACATGGATATATCATAATTTATATGTCCATTTCTCTGTTGATGGACACGTGTTATTTTCAAATTCATGCTATTACTAATGATGCTGCAATGACTGCCTTTGTAGATATATAATTTTATTCCCTGGCAGCTATACGAAATAGTACCAAAAATGCGATTATAGGGTCAGGGGGTAAATGCATGTGTAATTCAATGGATATTGTCAAATTCATCTCTGTAAGGGAGGTATCAATTTTTATTTCCACCAGCAATATATGAGGTTTTTGTCTCCCTAAGACGTGGTATGGCCCTGTTTTCTAATTAACAATCAAAGATGGTTTTATAGCAATAGTAATCAGTGCATTTATAGGTCTCTTTTCAGTTTACAAAGAGCTTTCTTGTCCATTATGTTAAAATAATAACTAATATTTATTGAGCACTTACAAGCTATTAGGCGTTTTGGCGGACCTTATAGAGTAGTGGCTAAAAGCATCTTGGAGTCAAAACTAACTGAATCTGAAACTTAGCTCCAACATTTACTGACTATATGAGAAAGCACTTATGTACCTATTTCCTTATTTATAAAACTAGAAGGATTATAATGTACCTACTTCGGTAGGCGGTATTGTGTGGGTTAAATGCTAATACATGTAAAAAACCCAAAACACTATGACACATATGAACAGTCAGTAAATGCTGTCACTGCTGTTCCTGAACATCTCTATGAATGAGGCAGTTCGTATTGTTCCCACTTTGTATAGGAGTAATCTGATGTCCAGAGGAACTGGGTCATACAGTTGTTAAGTGGTAGAGCCAGGACTTGAATATATCAGCTTCTTCCTCTTGTCTGATTCGGCAGCATTGGATATTCAGGTTTGGCCAGCATTGCAAGTATGTGCTGGGTGGTGCAGTTGTAAATGTTTAACAACCAGCTGGGAAGGGAGGGCGGCATGTATGTATATACTGGGCTTCCTTCATCATGTGTGACTTGTGAGGTCAGAATGCTCTGTCTTGAAATTCTTAATGAATTTTGAACAAGAGGTCCTGCATTTTTATTTTGCACTGGGCACCAAAATCATGTGGTCAGTCCTGTGTCCACATATGTTATATGTGTATTATAACGTTCACTAATACAAAGAATGTGTAGCACAAAACTTACAAATAATAATAAAATACACGATACTCTTTATTATAAATTCCATATAGCCAGTTGAGTCTAACAGTATGCTTTCTTTGATATTGTGTAGCCTCTGTGTGGTTGCATTGACCAATGAGTGTAGTTCCAACATGACTGTTGGTTGATATCATCTTTTTTTAAAAAAAAATATGGGCTTCCCTGGTGGCACAGTGGTTAAGAATCCACCTGGCCAATGCAAGGGACACGGGTTCAAGCCCTGGTGTGGGAGGATCCCACATGCTGCAGAGCAACTAAGCCCGGGCGCCACAACTACTGAGCCCGCATGCCACAACTACTGAGCCTGTGCTCTAGAGCCCGTTCTCCAGAACAAGAGAAGCCACTGCAATGAGAAGCCTGCACACCGCAATGAAGAGTGGCCCCTGCTTGCCGCAACTAGAGAGAGCCCACAGCAATGAAGACCCAATGCAGCCAAAAATAAATAAATAAAATAAAATAATATATATATATTTTAAAATATTTATTTAGGCTGTGCTGGGTCTTAGTTGCGGCTCATGGGATCCTCGTTGTGGCATGCCGGATCTTTAGTTACGGCATGAGAACCCTTAGTTGGAGCATGCATGAAGGATCTAGTTCCCTGAACAGGGGTCACACCCGGGTCCCCCGCATTGGGAACGCGGAGTCTTACCCACTGGACCACCAGGGAAGTCCCAGTATTATCTTTTACGTTAAGGAGTAGGTGGAAAGTGAAACAATCGAGATATATTGAACTTCACTAGTTCGTCAATGACATGAATGGCTTCTTTGCTAAATTGGATAATATTCTAATACTGGAAGTATATTTCCTCAAATTTTTGCTGCTACTCAAAACGAAACAGCTACAGAGTTGACACACTTAAAATTTAATCTGGGCCTTCCCTGGTGGCGCAGTGGTTGAGAGTCCGCCTGCCGATGCAGGGGACGCGGGTTTGTGCCCCGGTCCGGGAAGATCCCACATGACGCTGAGTGGCTGGGCCCGTGAGCCATTGCCGCTGAGCCTGCGCGTCCAGAGCCTGTGCTCCTCAATGGGAGAGGCCACAGCAGTGAGAGGCCCGCGTAACGCAAAAAAAAAAAAAAATTAATCTGCATTATTAACTTTTCTCTGTCACTTTCTTAATTCCAGATGATGTACAAAACAATTATGAAGCATTTGCTGATTTGTGTGGTATGAATACTCCCATTATGGCAGATTTCAAACCACCAGTGGATATCACTGAATGAACAGGTAGGAAGAGATAAGCAGCAGCACATCATTATGCAGTATTTCCACAATGCAGATAAAATAGACATAAATAACCTGAAGAGCATAAATGGTAAAGTGTAGTGAAATAATTAGGAAGTAATGAGTTTTGAGTATTTGTTACCTTGGCTTTTAATATAATGGATCTACTTGTAAGTTTGTATAATTTAATTTTTTTTTTTTTTTTTTTGCGGTACCGGGGCCCCCGTGGAGCACAGGCTCCGGATGCGCAGGCTCAGCGGCCATGGCTCACGGGCCCAGCCGCTCCGTGGCATGTGGGATCCTCCCGGATCGGGGCACGAACCCGCGCCCCCTGCGTCGGCAGGTGGACTCTCAACCACTGTGCCAGCAGGGAAGCCCTAATTTAATTTTTAATAATGGCTTTGCTTAATGACTGCTCACAAAATTCCTAAAAATTTAACAATTGGTTCTCTCCAGCCAAAACAAGCTACAGATATGGACCATAAGCTCCCAGAAGGCAGGAAATGGAGACACAAAGCTGGCCAACTGGTGGGTGGGGAGGAGGGCAGTTCTGTGCATGAATAAGTAAATAAATTAGAAGAAAGATAAAAAGGCAGTCAGGGCAGTATATGGAATATACATAATAAAAAGTGGGAATTATTGCTGTTGTGATTATTACCAGAGCTAATAATTTCTTTTTTAAAATTTTAGTTTAGTTTTTTTTAATTGAGCTATAGTTGATTTACAATATTGTGTTAGTTTCAGGTGTACAGCAAAGTGATTCAGATACATATGTATATATATTTTTTCAGATTCTTTTCCATTATAGGTTATTACAAGATATTGAATATAGTTCCCTGTGCTGTACAGTAAATCCTTATTTATCTATTTTATATATAGTAGTGTGTATCTTTTAATCCCATACTCCTAATTTACCCCTCCCCCCTTTCTCCTTGGTAACCATAAGTTTGTTTTCTGTTTCTGTGAGTCTGTTTCTGTTTTATAAAAAAGTTCATTTGGGCTTCCCTGGTGGCGCAGTGGTTTAGAGTCCGCCTGCCGATGCAGGGGACACAGGTTCGTGCCCCGGTCCGGGAAGGTCCCACATGCTGCGGAGCGGCTGGGCCCGTGAGCCGTGGGCACTGAGCCTGTGCGTCCGGAGCCTGTGCTCCGCAACGGGAGAGGCCACAACAGTGAGAGGCCCGCCTACCCCATATGTGATATCATATATTTGTCTTTCTCTGTCTGACTTCACTTCGTATGATACTCTCTAGGTCCATTCCTGTTGCTGCAAATGGCAATATTTCATTCTTTTTTATGGCTGAGTAATATTCCATTTTATATATATCATTATCCATTCATCAGTTGATGGACCTTTAGGTTGCTTCAATGTCTTGGCTAAGCTAATAATTTCCTAGACATTGTCATTTCCCATTTCAGAGCTTCGGTTTTCTCATTTGGAAAGGAAGTTTAATTACACCTTTCTTATCACCCTCAGTGTGTTCCCTGATTTTTATCCGTTTTATTCACTGCTGCGTGCAATAGTAGGTGTTCAGTAAATGTTGCACACAGTAGGCGCTCAATAAATGCGTGTTGAATGAAAAAAATGAATGAGACCTATTTCCGTGAGAGAAAGCTCTTGGTAAGTCGTAAAGCGACACGCATTCGTGGCCCTTCTTGAGATACTAAGTGAGGCTGTTTCCAGCAAGTCCGGGAGCAACTGCCGCTCGCGGACAGCCGGGGAGAGGAAGGGCTGGACCGCTGGGTCGCTGCACTGCCCCGGCCCCGCCCCCGCCCCAAGCCCCGGCCCCGCCCTCATCCTGGCCCCGCCCTCAACCCCGCCCCGGCCCAGGCCCGCGCAGCCGGTCCCTGTTTTCCGGCGGGCCTACAGTGGCGGGCCCCCAAGATGGTCGCTCCCGCAGCTCCGTAGAGGCGGCCGCGGTTCAGTCTCGGGCTGTAGGGCGAGGCGGGTGTCTGGAAGCAGTCATCGCCCAGGTGACAGGAGGTCGGGGAGGTGCCGCCGGGCCTCGTGGGGTGCCAGGCCCGCCCGCTGCAGCCCCCGGGCCCCGCCGCCTCCCTATCCCTGCCCCCGGGTGGAACCGAAGAAGGTCAGGTCCGCCGCCCCGCCTGTCCTCGCCTTAGGGCGGACGCTGTGTGTGGGTGGCTCACTGTTTAACATTGACTTCACCCAAGTGCATTCTCCATGGCGGCCTCGCAGGTCCCGGGGGAGAAGGTTAACATCCAGGCAGGAGAGACGGCCAAGGTCGGGGACAGGGACCTGCTGGGGAACGGCTGTCCGCAGCAGGACAGACCACCGCAGCGCTCGTGGAGGCAGAAGTGCGCCTCCTATGTTCTGGCCCTGCGGCCCTGGAGCTTCAGTGCCTCACTCACCCCGGTGGCCCTGGGCAGTGCCCTGGCCTACAGATCCCAGGGCGTCCTGGATCCCAGGCTACTGGTGGGTTGTGCCGTAGCTGTCCTCGCTGTGCACGGGGCTGGCAATTTGGTCAACACTTACTACGACTTTTCCAAGGGAATTGACCACAAAAAGAGTGATGACAGGACGCTGGTGGACCGAATCTTGGAGCCCCAGGATGTCGTCCGGTTTGGAGTCTTCCTCTACACCTTGGGCTGTGTCTGTGCTGCTTGCCTCTACTACCTGTCCCCTCTGAAACTGGAGCACTTAGCTCTCATCTACTTCGGAGGCCTGTCTGGCTCCTTTCTCTACACAGGAGGTAAGAATTGGCCTGTTTGCTGTGCTGCAGGTCTTAGTTGCAGGCATTGGAAACTGCGGTTTGCATAGGAATTATAGGGTTAGTGGAGAGGTGTCAAAGGTTATTTTCTTTTTTTTTCCCTTTGGCCGCACACGGCGCGGCCTGCGGAAGTTCCCCCACTGGGGATCCAACCAGCGCCCCCTGGGAATGGAATCTGGAGTCTTAACAACTAGACCACCAGGGAAGTCCTCAGAGGTTATTTTCTGAATTAGACCACTTTATGTGAAATCTATAATGTTTGGGTCGTGTGGATTTGGGGGATAGCATTCCTGGCTTGGCTTATGGATGTTAGGAATAACTTATATATGGAAATTTTTTGTGTCTAGTTTCCACTGGTTGGTCATACCTTATAATGCCACAGTTTCAAATTTTAGTGTAATTAAATTTGAAAAGCTCAAATTATACACCTGATTATTTTCAGCTAGTTTGCTAGGTGATCCCTTGCAGCAGGCTGATTAAGGTAGTGATGGGCTGGTGGTTAAGCCCTATTTATTGAGCATCTATTATGTGCCAGGCTCTGTTCTATGTGAACACAGCAGTCAAGTCCCTGCCCTTGTGGAAGTGATTTTATATATCATGAGGAGAGACAGAAAATAAAAATAGTAAATTATGGGTAGGATGACCAACATCCTGGTTTGCTCAGCACTGAGTGTTCCTAAGATGTGGGGCTTTGGAAACCAGGAGAGTTCCTGGTAAGCCAGGATGAATTTGTACCTTGGTTACAGTACCTGAAAAGAAGATAAGTGCTATAGGGAAAAGAAGGAGAGCAAGGAAGGAGGACACAGCTGACTGCCTTAACTAGTTTGATCAGGGTAGGCCTCGTAAAAAAACGCAACATGTGAACAAAGATTGTAAGAGGTGACAGGTGAGGGAGTTGCCTGAGCAGATATCTGGAGGAAGAGTATCTTGGGACAGCAGTTGCCAAAGGCAGGAGTGTCCCTGAAGAGTTGGAGGAATAGGATGGAGTCCAGGGTGTGAATGAGGGAGAGAGTAAAAGGAGGAAAAGTAAGAGAAGTTCGTTGGGGGGGGTGGTGGTGGTGGAGCAGGGTGGCACAAAAATGCTGTAAGCCTTAATGTTTTAAAAGAATCACTCTGGCTAAGGTACTGAGAATGGATAAAGAGGGGTAAAGGGTAGCAGCAGGAGCACCCAGAAGGAGGCTGTTGAGTAAACCAGGCAAGAGATGTCTGGTGGCTTGAATCGGGGTGGGAGTAGTGGAGAGGGACGTAGTCAGATTCTGAATTTATTTTGAAGGTAAACAGGGTTTGCTGATAGTTGGGATGTGAGGCAGGAGAGAAACAGAGAAATTAAACGTAACTCTGAGGTTTTGTCCTGAGTAACTGGAATAGTGGTGTTGATGTCTAGTGAGAGAGAAGGTTGAAGATAGGTCTGTGGAGAGAAAGTTGAGAAATTGACTTTGGACATCTGAATGTATTAGATCTCCAAGGGGGTGTCAAATTGATAGTTGGGTATGAGTCTGATTTTGGAGAAGAAGTCTGAGCTGGAAAGAGAGACATTTGGGAGTCTTGCACATAGATAAAGTTGTATGACTGGGGGAGATCCCGGAGCGGGGCAGTGTTGATAGACCTGAGGATGAGCCCCGGGGCACTCCAACATTAAGAGGTGGGGAGAGTAGAAGGAAGGCAAAGGGAACCGCAGTGGAGCATCTGGAGGAGAAAGAAGAAAAGCAAGAGACTGTGGTGTCCTGGCAGCCAATTGTAAAAAGTTCAATGAGGGAAATCAGCAGGGTGCTGAAATAGAATGAATGTATCAGGTAGTGGTGGATGGAAAAGGTCCTCTCTGTGAAGGTGACGCTTAAACTAAGACTTGACAGATAAGGAGCCAGCCATGGGCAGAATTGGGGTCTGATTTGGGTCCTTCAGGGATGAAGGAACAGCAAATGCAAATGTCCTGGAGTAGGGTAAGACTTGGCATCTTTTAGGATCTGCTGAAAGGCCAGTGTGATCAAGAGGAAGACTGAGATGCAGCTGTCGGGGCAGGCAGGGGCTAGATCGCGCTGTCTCATAGGGCCTCAGTCTCCGCCGGTTCCTCCTCACTCCGAACCTCCAAGCCTAGTCCTTGGACCTCTCTTCTTTAGCTCCATTTACTCCCGTAGGGATTTTAGCCCGTCTCGTGTCTTCTATTGCCATCTATTAAGCTGGTGACAAATTTCTACCTCCAGACCAGATCTTTCCACTAAACCCCAAACTCAAATCCAACTTCTTACTCAGTAACTTCTCTGAGAGGTTACAGGCATCTCAAGCTTGACACGTCTGAGACCAAATTCCTCATCTGCTCACATAGAAATCTGCTCTACGCTCAGCTTTCCCCATATCACTCGATGGCAACTCCATCCTTCTCGTTCTTCAGGCTGAAGATCATGGGCATCAACCTTGACTCTTCTTTCTCACATCTTGCATCCAGACCATCAGCAAGTCTCGTTGACTCCACTTCTCTTTTTTTTTTTTATTAAGAAATATTTTTTTGAATTTTTGAATTTTATTTTTTTATACAGCAGGTTCTTATTAGTTATCCATTTAATACATATTAGTGTATACATGTCAATCCCAATCTCCCAATTCATCACATGCCCCCCCGACCCCCCAGCCACTTTCCTCCCTGGTGTACATACGTTTGTTCTCTACTTCTGTGTCTCAGTTTCTGCCCTGCAAACCGGTTCATCTGTACCATTTTCCTAGGTTCCACATATATGTATTAATATATAATATTTGTTCTTCTGTACCATTTTCCTAGGTTCCACATATATGCATTAATATACAATATTTGTTCTTCTCTTTCTGACTTACTTCACTCTGTATGACAGTCTCTAGATCCATCCATGTCTCTACAAACGATCCAATTTCATTCCTTTTTATCGCTGAGTAATATTCCATTGTATATATGTACCATATCTTCTTTATCCATTTGTCTGTCAATGGGCATTTAGGTTGCTTCCATGTCCTGGCTACTGTAAATAGTGCTGCAATGAACATTAGGGTGCATGTGTCTTTTTGAATTATGGTGTCCTCTGGGTATATGCCCAATAGTGGGATTGCTGGGTCGTATGGTAAGTCTAATTTTAGTTTTTTAAGGAACCTCCATACTGTTCTCCATAGTGGCTGTCTCAGTTTACATTCCCACCAAGAGTGCCAGAGGGTTCCCTTTTCTCCACACCCTCTCCAGCATTTGTTGTTTGTAGATTTTCTGATGATGCCCATTCTAACTGGTGTGTGGTGATCCCTCATTGTAGTTTTGATTTGCATTTCTCTAATAATCAGTGATGTTGAGCAGCTTTTCATGTGCTTGTTGGCCATCTGTATGGAGAGATGTCTATTTAGGTCTTCTGCCCATTTTTGGATTGGGTTGTTTGATTTTTTAATATTGAGCTGCATGAGCTGTTTATATATTTTGGAGATTAATCCTTTGTCCATTGACTCGTTTGCAAAAATTTTCTCCCATTCTGAGGGTTGTCTTTTCGTCTTGTTTGTAGTTTCCTTTGCTGTGCAAATGCTTTTAAGTTTCATTAGGTCCCATTTGTTTATTTTTGTTTTTATTTCCATTGCTCTAGGAGGTGGATCAAAAAAGATCTTGCTGTGATTTATGTCAAAGAGTGTTCTTCCTATGTTTCCCTCTAAGAGTTTTATAGTGTCCGGTCTCACATTTAGGTCTCTAATCCATTTTGAGTTTATTTTCATGTATGGTGTTAGGGAGTGTTCCAATTTCATTCTTTTACATGTAGCTGTCCAGTTTTCCCGGCACCAATTATTGAAGAGACTGTGTTTTCTCCATTGTATATCCTTGCCTCCTTTGTCATAAATTAGTTAACCACAGGTGTGTGGGTTTATCTCTGGGCTTTCTATCCTGTTCCATTGATCTGTGTTTCTGTTTTTGTGCCAGTATCATATTGTCTTGATTACTGTAGCTTTGTAGTATAGTCTGAAGTCAGGGAGTCTGATTCCTCCAGCTCTGTTTTTTCCCCTCAAGATCTCTTTGGTTATTCGGGGTCTTTTGTGCCTCCATACAAATTTTGAGATTTTTTGTTCCAGTTCTGTAAAAAATGCCATTGGTAATTTGATAGGGATTGCATTGAATCTGTAGATTGCTTTGAGTAGTATAGTCATTTTCACAATATTGATTCTTCCAATCCAAGAACATGGTATATCTCTCCATCTGTTGGTATCATCTTTAATTTCTTTCATCAGTGTCTTATAGTTTTCTGCATACAGGTCTTTTGTCTCCCTAGGTAGGTTTATTCCTAGGTATTTTATTCTTTTTGTTGCAGTGGTAAATGGGAGTGTTTCCTTAATTTCTCCTTCAGATTTTTCATCATTAGTGTATAGGAATGCAAGAGATTTCTGTGCATTAATTTTGTATCCTGCAACTTTACCAAATTCATTGATTAGCTCTAGTAGTTTTCTGGTGGCATCTTTAGGATTCTCTATGTATAGTATCATGTCATCTGCAAACAGTGACAGCTTTACTTCTTCTTTTCCAATTTGTATTCCTTTTATTTCTTTTTCTTCTCTGATTGCTGTGGCTAGGACTTCCAAAACTATGTTGAATAATAGTGGTGAGAGTGGACATCCTTGTCTTGTTCCTGATCTTAGAGGAAATGCTTTCAGCTTTTCACCATTGAGAATGATGTTTGCTGTGGGCTTGTCATATATGGCCTTTATTATGTTGAGGTAGGTTCCCTGTGTGCCCACTTCCTGGAGAGTTTTTATCATAAACGGGTGTTGAATTTTGTCAAAAGCTTTTTCTGCATCTATTGAGATGATCATATGGTTTTTCTTCTTCAGTTTGTTAATATGGTGTCTCACATTGATTGATTTGCATACATTGAAGAATTGTTGCATCTCTGGGATAAATCCCACTTGATCATCGTGTGTGATCCTTTTAATGTGTTGTTGGATTCTGTTTGCTAGTATTTTGAGGATTTTTGTATCTATATTCATGAGTGATA